TGATCAATGATGTAGAGTGTGCCTAAGGAGAGTCACATGGAGAGAAAACATTCTCTCAGGCTTTCACAGAGAGCACATTGGCCAAGCAAGGGCCATGACTCATCCACATGGCTGACACTGACAAAGGTTCTACAGTCTGAGGTACAGGATCTCAGGACAAATCCTGAGGGCATTTCATTGACCTTCTCAGACCAAAAAGCTACAACTCTTGTTGCATAGGTCCTGCTTTACCTTGGTCTTAACCATCCAGTAGAAAAGTATGAAGATGAAATAGAAGAAGTAAAGCCATGCTGTTAAGTTGAGCTGTGGGGGACTCAGGTCAACAATTTCTGACATTGCCAGTTAAACAGAAGACCCAAGGCTATTATGAGCTATTGGACTCTTTTAGAATATTTTGCTGAGTTTACACACCTATAATATTCAAATAACGGAACTTCACAGAAAAAGGGGATACAGATGAATGTCCATTTTGTATCTGTGTATTCAAAGTGGTTAGGATAGATATATAGTTACATTCTCTTAATGAATAGAATGATTTGTTCTAGTGGTGTTTGTAAATAAGATATCAAGTCTGCGTGTTGTGCAGCAATTAACCACTAAGAAGAATGTATGCAGTGTGTTAGTTATTGAAACTGTCCTAGCGATTTGATTTGACACTGTTTAATTGCTATTTATCAATAAAATTATGGAAAAAAATAATAAAAGATAAGAGTAAAAAAATATTTATTCTGTGGCCAGGGAGATAGCTCAACAGCATAAGCACCTGCTGACAAGTACAAGGTCCTGAGTTCAATCCCTGGTACCAAAAACTAAATAAATAATTATAATATTAAAAAAAGAAAAAAAATCAATACAACAATCCTCAGTGAAATCTAATGAAAGCACCATGTGGACGTGCCCAAGTGGACCTTATACTAAGAATGCAAGGTAGTTGACTGCTGGGAAATAAATTAGCAACTTGTAACATGGCTCGCAGTGTCTTCAGAGATGCTGAAGTATTATGTCAATGTAATTAAAATCCAGTTTTGCTTAAGAAATTCTTAAAAGCACAGCAACAAATGGGTTCTTTAAACTTGATTAAAATTAATTAGTAATTAGGAAATATTTATCCATATAAACCTCAGAAACAAGAGAAGGATCATTCCTTACTTTTTTTTTTTTTTTTTTTTTTTTTCAGAACCGGGGATTGAACTCAGGTCCTTGCGCTTGCCAAGGAAGTGCTTATTCTACTGAGCCATCTCCCTGGCCCCTACACTTAAGTTTTTTGGTAGAAGAACTAAACTCAAGAAATTAGAATGATAATTTGTAAGTCAGAAAATGAAGTAGTGATTACTGGTATATGATGTATTACGCCCTGTAAAATCTCTGAAAAACTATTGAAAACAAAGATGAATTTATTAAAGTCATTTATTCAGAAAGAAATGGGAAGATCTAATTAAAAAAAGATCACATAAAATAGCAAACAAAATACATTGGAATCAGATTAGTAAGAACTACCCAACTATGAAGAAATGCTTGTCAGGGATATGAAAGAAACTGCTCAAATGAAAGGCTTTACTGTGGTCCCAAGTCAGAGAAAGAATCCTGCCAATTTTCTAGGTTCTATTAACTCCGTGTCAACATCATTACCTTTATCATGCTTTTGAACTGGCCGAGCTGATTGTCTATTCATATAAAAGCATTTTAAGCAGTAAAAACCTGGAAAATGAAGTAAAACTGATACATCAATAGAACACATCATAGCCCAGAAATAAACCCAAAATACAAGTGAGAACTAGGCGGTGATTTTATGGCAACATCTCAATTCACAAACTTAATTCACTCCAGGATTCTGGTCATGAACCAAGTCAAATTTCTCCATAAGCTTCAATGTAAATGAGTTAATCTGTTGTGAACCACATGTATTTTCTTACAAAAGCATGACACAAAGTACCGTGCAGTGCAGTGTGAAGAGAGACACCTTCCTGAGGTGAGCTCTGGTGTGGGGGACAGGAAGGCGGGTGGCGAGGAGGTTACTGTTCCGAGAGAGCCCCTCCATAAGGACATCGGCAGAGCGCCTTCAGGGGTTTCCGCCTTCTTTGTCTCTAGCCACAAGGTCAATTGGGATGAAAAGTGCCTGCTGTCACTTGCTCTTTCCTGCCCTGCATGACCGTCTGGAAACGAGAGACCACGTTATCACTCATCAGATTCCACCCTGCGGGGTGCGGCCATGTGGGGTGGTGCTTCTCGAGGAGCCCTGGTGCTCGTTCCTCCCTGGGGGCTTCGTCACACCATTGCCACCCGCCCCATCCTCCTCTCCCTCAGTGGACACCCCTCTCCTCTGCTTGCTCTGGAGTCCAGCGAGCTCTTCCATTGTCAGCTCCCCCTGTGGCTCCTAGGCTCCTCTGTCTGCACCATCAACGTCCAGGCCCGTACTGTTGCCATGGACACGGTCTCCTCCACTCCGTGTGCATCCTTCGAAGTCAGGTTCAGTGACACTTTCTGGCCAGAGTTTCCTCCAGGCTGTCTAAGTCCCGTATGTGACATCTTCCCAGACTCTGCCAGTGAGGTGGGTGCAGTGCAGGACGTTGTCATGTTTCTTCCAGAACCTTTTCAGGGTCAAGGGTGTCTCTTCAGGGCCATTAACACACCTGGTGAAGAGCACCTTTGTGCACAGCATCTTGAAGTGGCAGATCACCTGCTGGTCCTGGGGCTGCAGCGGAGGTGTCCTGTTGGGGGAGGAACTTGGCCTTCATGAAGTCACACTCAGTCCAGATCACCCACTGAGGCTGGGGTGTGGGCGGGATGCCAGGGCACCGCCCATCAGAAGAAGGTGCTTTTCAGGCAGGTGGTTGTGAGAAAGACAGTTCCTAACTGGGTGTGAATCTGTCGCACAGCCATACCCTGAATAATTACCTTGTGACCCAAGCTTTCGCACTGATCAACATATTTTATGAAACAGCAGTTTGTAGCCTGTGGAAATGGTCTCAGCCTCGCACTGGAGAAGAGGAATAGGAGTGCTGGTAGGTTATGGTTGTGGGTCTGCCCCTGTCATGTCGCATTAACCCTTTATATTTCACGCATCACTTACACTCTGTTGCGCTTAATTCCCTAAGGTCTTAGGAAATGGACAGGACTGAAAGGCCCATCTGACAGTAAATAAATAAAGTAAATAACAGTAAATAAAGCATATTAAAAATTCACTGCAGGATTCTGGTCATGAACCAAATCAAATTTGCTGTTTTATGTGATCTCTTTTTTTGTTTATTAGATCTTTGCAGCATCTTCAGAGATGCTAAAACCCAGGGTGAGCAAGCAGATGATTCTGTTTGTCTTTTTTATCATATTGGGATTGAAGCCGGGGTCACTGATCTACCTCACCAGCCCTTTTGTTTTTGATTTTAAGTCAAAGTCTCACTAAGTTACCCACATGGGACTCAAGCTAGTGATCATCCTGCCTCAGCCTCCATCAGAACCAGGTTTGGTTTTGTTTCCTGAAATCCTGCTTTATTTCTCTTGCTAGGAAATGAAATGGTCTTATTCTAATTTCTCATTATTTCCCATAGAAGCCAGACCTACTGATTTCAGAGGGCCAACCAGCAAAAGACAAGCGCACCATGTCTTTTATCCTCTGCAGAGAGCCTTCCTCTGCCTCAAATAGCACTAGTGCTAGGAAGGCCTTTGTCTGCATGCTGTCCCACAGGTGTGAGCTCTTCCAGGCTTACACATACATTTTAAAATATATCTATCAATAAACCAATTGATCAACCATGTGTTTAAATTTATTTTAAAGGTAAGGAAGTGCATAGCACACATTAAATCTGTTACCAGGTTTCTTACAAATAATTAATGCTTTTAAGGATTCAGAGACTGGCTATATTTGTGAAGGAGCAGACCTGGCGACATGTTGAAGGATGAGGAACAGTGAACAGACACAGCAGCAGGGGGAATGAGAAGGTGAGCCTGGACTCACGTTGTTACAGAGAAGCTGGACCTGAGTTCAAGTTGAGCGCATATTATCTCAGCGCCGCCTGACTCCAGGAGATGAAGAGGAGTGTGATCTCACACAGGACAGGCCAGCATCTGAGGCCGTGGGCTGAGGTCTGGGGGAGGCTGGGGAAGCCTTTGCAAGCACAGTTGCCCCAATGACCCAGGGACTGTCCATTTTCACCTGGACATACACTGAAGACTTACACATGCACCTTCTTAAATTGGCTTGTGTTAACTTGGGAGATTAGTACAGCACAATTTGCCCTAAACGGCTTTACATAGTAGATCCCCATGAAAAATATGGAGCCAAGTTAGCCTAGCACGAAAACATGAGACAGCGTCAACACTCCTTTGCACAGGGAGAACAGCGAGGCCCTTCTCTGTAGGCTTTTGTGACCCACGTCATGACCGCTGCAATAGTTCGAATCTTCTGTTTCCTCAGAGGTCCATGTTCTAAAGGCTTGGACAGTGCTAGTGTGGCACTGCTGAGAGTTACTGGAACCCGCAGGAGGTATGGCCTAATGGGAGGGATTACGTAACTGGACAGCTAGTGGGACGCTGACCCCTCCTCTGTCTCTGCTCCTTGGCTCACGGTGTAAGTGGCTTACTTTACTTCTCACTGCTCCTGTTAGGGGGTGCCACCTCACCACAGCCAACCTCAGAGGCCAGTACAGCGTGGGCTGACACCTCCAAAAGTGTGAACAAACACAAGTCCTTTCTCTGCGTAAGTTAATTGTGTGGCTGTTTGTCTATAGTGATGGAAATCTGACCAAATCTGATGTCACAACCACATACACAAGGTCAAAGCCCAGAACATCGGTGTATATCAGACCAGTTGTGAAGCCAGCGTGGAGAGGCACTGAGAGTCAGGGAAGCTTCAGCTGAGCTGAATCTGGCTGGAAAGCAGTAGAGACAGAGAAAGCAGACACAGCAGGACTCTCTTTAGTAATGCAGGAGTGGTTAACTGTTAGACTTCAGGACTCTCTTTAGTAATGCAGGGTGGTTAACTGTTAGACTTCAGGACTCTCTTTAGTAATGCAGGGTGGTTAAC